TGACATTTCGGTGCAAGCCACGTGCCCCTGGGCTGGCGCAGCCCCCAGAGATGTCTGTCTGCCCCCAGGGTATGTGGATCGCCTGCTCCTGACCCAATTCCGACGGCGCTTCCAGGTTCTGGCTCCGGACGTCATGAAGAAGTACACCTCTGCCTACGAGGTGCCAGATGAGAGCAAGGTGCGTCCCCGGCTGGCCTGGGGAGCGTGGGCCAAGAGCCCCATGTAGGGCTTTGCCAGTGCCGGAGCTCTTCCAGCCTTCCCCAACATGGTCAGGGCTTTCTTTGCAATGAGGAGCAATTCCTGGAGCTCCCTAGAGGCAGCCCCTGTGCTGGCATTGCCTGTATCCTGCGTGAGCCCAGCTGTCCTCTCTCCAAATGGGCTGGGTCATGTGAGCATCTCCCTGCCCTGGGGCAGGAGCTGCTTTCCCAGTCCCTGCCTCGCTCAGGCATTTGGTGTTGCTGATGTTATTCCTTTGGCTGCTGTAGGGTCAATACCCGCAGGTCTGTGGGCTGCCAAGCTCCAGCGTCTCCCAACAGCTGTGGATGATGCTCCTTTGCTCTGTTGCTGCAGGATCCACCATGGGTGGGAGTGCACATCTGGACAGCTGTTGAGGAGCTTTAGTAGCAGGGTTGTCAGTGCAGGTCTCGGCGTTTCTTAAATGCAAGGTTGTCCTCAGGAACTAGGGATGAAGGAGAAAAACCACATTCAGCAAGGCTCAGGGTAGGTCACCAGCATTCGCAGTGCTGCTGAGAAACCGCGATTGGGTTTGGGAGTCTGCAGGGTCAGCCCGTACGTCCGGGCTCTGGGCGGTCGGAGCTCCCTAGCAATGATCAGGAGTGATCTGGCAGTGGGGCTGCGTCCTGCGTGGGTGCAGCCTTGTGCAGTGCTGGTTGCAGGGAGTGGCTTTGCATCCTGCTCCTCTTCACCCTTCCCACGTGTGCCTGAGCATGGAGGGACACGGGTCCTCCAGCAACCTGGCAGAGCAGCCGAGCTCGGCTCTTTGTCCCTGAGTTTCTCCCCCTGAGGACTGTTTTCGCAAAGGCAGTAAACATGCCTGGCGTGGGCTGCATTTGCCAATGTTATTGCACCGTGGAGAGGACTTGGAGAAATCAGCCTGGAAATGAAGCCTGTTATTGCTTCTTTTTAATACTCAAGAGGAAATGGCTTTGAAAATCCTGCGTGCTGAGGGCTGGGCCTCGGTCCTCTGGTGTTCTGGCTGCATGCCTGGTAGGTCTCGATTTGCAGGACAGGGCACAAACTGTGGGACTGGCGGCATGTGCAGAGGGCGGGTTCCGTGCATTGCTCTGGCCCAGCATGGTGGCACCCTGTCCCTCACCCTGGCTCCCCCAAAAACCAGCTGGCTCAGGATAAGCCAGGCAGCATTCCCAGGGATCCAACAGAGCAGGGACCATGGAGGTTCCTGGGGACTGGGCATCACCTGCCTTCAGGCACCTGTAAAGCAGCAGCTCAGGGTGGCTCCTTGCCTCGTCCCACGAAGCCTGAAAGTCAAAGGAGCTCAGGAATGAAGGTGGAGATATGCCAGTTTTATTTGTTTCATAATAAATTTGTAGCAAAAACTGGGGAGAACCGCCCCTGCTCCTGGAACAGGCTACGAGCGAGCCAAGAAACACTGAGATCCGGGAAGAGCCGAGAGGAGATGAATTAAACATGGGCATGTGCTCTGTTGTGCAAACTGCCAGCCAGCGTGTGCAAATTCAATTACGACCTTGGGATTTAATAAGACAAGTTTGACAGTCAGAAAAGGTCAATATTGTTATTAAATGCTGTAAGGAGGCAGAGGGTGCCTCGTCAGCAGCATGTAAGCAGGGGATTTGAAAAATCCCATCTTCCCCGGAGCTTGTTGCCACGTGGTTTTGTTAGCTGGAGACTGCTTCCCGGTAAGCTGCATTAAGTCAGCCGCTGGGGCCCAAGAGGTGCTTGTATGTAGCAAGGGTGTGACGGTGCAGCAATAACCGACCCCGCTGTTGTGCATGGGATGGGATCGTCCTGTGCAGCCCTGTGCCTGGCCCCAGTCCCAGCAGTGCCACAGGAGTGGGGCACAGCCGTGGTGCTGGTGCTTTCTCACCTCTGGCACAGAGTTTTGTGCACCGTGGTGGTCTGTCCCCTGTGCACTTGTGTGCTCCGTCCCCACCTCACCCCGGTGCGTGCATGGCTGCTGGCGAGGGCTAGAGCTGCATTTCTGCTGCAGCAAGGTGCTCCTGGGGCCGTGCTGAAATATTTCTCACGTGGGTTTGTCCTTCGTGGAGGAGATGCGTGAGGCTGCCAGAGGATGTTGTATGGAGTGAAGTATTAGTGGAGGATTTTTGTTAAAATTTCTGTAGCTCTGGCATTTTCAAATCATCGATTTGTCCAGGTAGTGTTTGCTGCCCTGGGGAAATGTACGGTGTTGCTGGCTTGTTATGTTCACATGTCATAGAATCATAGGATCATTAAGGTTGGAAAAGACCTCTAAGATCATCGAGTCCAACCGTCAACCCAACACCACCATGCCCACTAAACCATGTCCCTAAGCGCATGGACCCATGTCGGTCCAAAGCTCAGAGTAATTGAGTTCAGGCTTCTCCTGTGGCTTGGGACTTATCTCCTGCTTGCCTCCCTGCGGGGGCTCAGCTCTGCGCCGGTGGGCTCGGGGGGGAACCCAGTGCTTTCTCCCCCGCTTTTGGCTCCATGGGCCGAGCTGTTGGCGAACTGGTTAGGAGGGCAGCACCGAGGGCTCGCAGCTGCACAGTGCAGTTGGACCCTGGTTGGACAGCGCCAGGACGAGCTCTTGCCTTCCCCTGAGTAGCCTCCTTCTGCGGCTGCCTGTGCATCGGGGTCCTTCCAGACGAGGGATGGCAGCAAAAGGGGGAAAATCTTGCATGCAGCTGCAGATCTCCGCTCCCCATCCTGCCAAAAGCCTCTGGGGCAGAAAGCCCTTCTCGCACCAGGACTCGGGGCTGGGGCAGCCGTTTCTGAGGCTGCTCTCAGGCTGGGCAGGTGCGCTTTTGCATGGGGAGGAGGAAACGAGAGCACAGCTGGATGCACCCTTACTGGGTGCCCGTAAGGACCAGGGGTCTCTGCGTCCCGTTTCAGCAGGCTTGTGCCAGGGTGTAAGTGTTTTCTGAGCAACTCTGCGATGTGCTCCTTCTCTGCAGGCCATAGAGGAGCTCTTCCAGACACTGGATCTGGAGAAGGCCATAGGACGCAGCCAGGTATGACGGCTCCGGTCTCTGCTTCCCCGTTGCTCTCGGTGCATACGGACCCAACCAGCCCTGCGCCGGGCACTGTCAGCTGCCCAAAGCTTCCCAAACTGGAGAGACAGTCTCTCCTCCGCTGCTCCCCATGGCGCCCAGGTGGGCTGGGAAACCAAGCCTCACCGAAAATCAAAGTGGAAGGCTCCTAATTCACATTTGAAAGTGTTACCCTCGGTAAACTGTGTACCTGATTGTGGAAATCTGGCCCCTCATGGCATTTAAGTTCCTAATTACCTTTGATGTCTCATGGGAGTAAATGGGGCTTGGGCAGCTCGTGGTTTTGGTGGGCTGGGGTTAACACTGCTGAGCTGGGCAGCTGCAAGTGCAAGAGTTGTTGCAGCAACAACATTTGAACTTAAATGCGGTAATCTCAAAGAAAAATTAATTTTGCATGCCTGCTTTCCTTCAGCTCTTGGGGTCTATAAAGAAAGAATTCCTGAAAGAATGGTTCTGTGGAGCAAAATAACTTACTTTTATCCTGCACAGTGCAGTTTGCAATTATCTCTGCTATGAAACCTTTGTACTTAATCAATACTGCGATAGCAGCTCCAGTCACATCTTGTTATAGAGGAGTTAGTTTTGCCATCGCTTTGAGCATTGATTTTGTACTAGCTTCTAAAACTCGCTGGCTTGTGAAGTTAACACAGACATTAATGAGACAATCAAATAGGTGGTGGAGCAATCACAGCATTATCTCAAGAAAGTGAGTTTCCTTGGAATTGTTCTTTGATTCAATTTGGCATCTTTAAAACACAGCTCTTTAAGTATGCCACTGGCTTCACAAGTGTAATTAAGTTTTTATTAAAGCTGTATTATGCAAATGGTGCACAATATTCAGGAGTGATTGGTCCCATATCTCGAGAGCTTCACCAGGCAATGACCGAGAGACATCTTGCACTCTGAGAGATCGATACCAGGCTAAATTCGATGGCATCAGCAAATCTGTATCATTTATGAGGTGTTTCTGACAAGTTCATTTAAAGAAAATGATGTGGTTAATTCTGTTTTTTCTATTGTAAACTGGCATCTTTGCTGTTATCTGTGTGTATCTGTGTGTACGCTGTCAAAAATGCTGTTTCCAGCAGAGACAGCCCTGCCGTCCATGCAGCAGGTGAGAAATGGGCAGTAGCCCAAGGGGAGAGTTTCAAGGACTTGCAGCTTCTTGTGATGGTTGATGCCTATGTCAAAAAGGAGAAGGGAGAAGAGGCAGGGACAGAGAGCAAATGCCAGCGTGCGCACAGTGCAAGGGTCAGATCCCAAGAGGCGCTCAGCAGCCCAGTCCCCGGGGAGTCAGTGGAAGCTAGGCAGCCCCGTATGCCCTGTTTTGGCGATGCCCAGGTGCAGGAGATGGAGGGGCGGGTGGAAGGTCCTCTCTGGGATGTGCAGCCATCCTGTTGCTGGGCTTGGGGACGGGACAGAGCTGGGATACAGCTCTCTCTTGCTGTTCCATGAGCGTCCCCAAGGAGGTCGGTGCCAGGGCTGCCTCAGGTGCCTTTGTGGCACGGGGCAGACAGGCATGTTGCAGGTTTGGCCAAGTAGGGCTGGAGTCCCCTTCCAGCCCAGCGTTTTGGGCTGGTGCAGTGGTTGCACTCGCTGGTCCCAGCTGGTCCAAGGACCTTCAGTCTCCTGCAGGTCTCAGGGGAGGCTGCAAGGTCTTAGCCAGAAATACGTCCCATTGGCTGCAGGCAGGTTTCAGACCCTGTCCTGTGGGTGTGTAACCTCCATTGCTTGCTGTCAGATTTTCCTGAAGCCGGGGGTCATCTCCAGACTGGAGAAGCAGCGTGACAAGCTGATAGCCCAGAAGATGATCCTGCTCCAGGCTGCTTGCAAGGGCTTCCTCAGCCGTCAGAAGTTCAAGAGGTTGAAGGTATCCATCCCACAGGTCGTGGATGCCCTGTGCCCACCAAAGCACAGGCTCGGTGCTGCTGTGATACAGCCCGGAGCATCCAAATTACAGCTCTTTGAGCGGAGCAGGTGGCTCCTTTGAAGGGTACCCACTCTGCCCTGCCCTGTGGGCAGCCATAGGGTGCCTCGCTGCCATCCCCTGCAGTGCAGAGCTCCTCCACCACCTCATCCCTCTCCATCCCGGTGCCCGCGCCAGGCCCTTCCCAGTTTTTTTTTGGGTGAGGGGCACTGCCGGCCGTGTCTCCCGACAGATCCAGCGCCTTGCCGTTCACTGCATCCAGAAGAACCTGGTGGTCTTCCAGGCAGTCAGGCACTGGCCCTGGTGGCAGCTGCTGAGCCGTGTGCGGCCCTTGCTCAGCGTTAACCTCGCGGAGGAGCAGCTTCGTGCAAAAGAAGTATGCACCAAGCGATGGGAGGGGATGGGACGGGACGGGACGGGATGCTTTAGGGCCTCTGCCTGGTGGGTCAGTCAAACTGGAAATCACTTCTGCCAGGGCAGAGATGTTTTGCTGACCATCCGTAAGTCATCATCTGTTCTTAGCACCCCCAAGTAATGTGTTTTGCGGAGCTGCGGAGGGAGAAATAACTCTCCTTCCTTAGAGGGACAGTAGCAAATGCACCATGTCCCTGCAGCCGAAGCCCCATCCCAGGGCTGTGGCTGCCCTGCTGCCCGCCCCATGCCTCCCACGAGCTTGCTGGGGCTGGGTCCGCTGAGCTGAGCCCCCTGGGGACGGGTGCCCCACATCAGTCTGTGGGGTGACGGATGATGAGCAGCCAAACACATCCTTGACACAGGGGACTCTGCTGTATACTGTCACCAGAGCTGTACTGCCTTCCACCTGAGCTGCCACTGGTGATGGGAGACGTTAATGGGCATTTGCTGACCTGGGAAAGGCACCTTTTGCCCCTCTGCACCGTCTGAGGCCTGCACTAAATTCTTAGTCTGTCTTCCTTGGCATCCTGCTCCTCCTCTTGCCTTAGTGAGGTTTTAACAAGATGTTTTCAGGCTGGTTCAGACAAAATAAAAGTTGCCCAAGCCTCTGTTTCTCTCTCCAAACCTGACACAGGGGACTCTGCTGTTTACTGTCACCAGAGCTGTACTGCCTTCCACCTGAGCTGCCACTGGTGATGGGAGACGTTAATGGGCATTTGCTGACCTGGGAAAGGCACCTTTTGCCCCTCTGCACCGTCTGAGGCCTGCGCTAAATTCTTAGTCTGTCTTCCTTGGCATCCTGCTCCTCCTCTTGCCTTAGTGAGGTTTTAACAAGATGTTTTCAGGCTGGTTCAGACAAAATAAAAGTTGCCCAAGCCTCTGTTTCTCTCTCCAAACCTGCCTGGTATCCGTCAGGCTCCATCACCCGTTAACCTCTGCTTTTATCACAACTCTGCACGTTCTGCTTCTGCTCAGTGTTGGACATCAAAGCAGGACAAGGCTGCACTGAGCAGCTCTTTCTGCGGTTACAGTCAGGCTGCCTGAAAAAGAATCACAGAAAACAATGTGCCTTTGCAACTGCTCTGTGATAGTCTGCCAGGGCCCAAGGAACACTCCATGAGCAAAATTCAGATGTTTGACTGTTCATCCCAGGCTTTTGAGGTTTGCTGCTTTCTCATAAAATGTGCTCTGTATGTACACCAAAGCTGACATTCCTTCTGATGAAATTCATGTCAGGAGCTGTAGTCCCAGCAATTTGCAGTGAGCAGCCTTCAAAGTTGCCTGGTAAATTTTATTAATAAGGCAGCTATGTCTCTCCCACTTATTTTTAACAGAAAATGAGATTTTCATAAATAAACTGAGGATGCTGGAGCTCTCCATGTGTGTTGTTTTGCAATCTTCCCTAGGAGGAGCTGGCAATGCTGAGAAGGAAGCTGGAAAAATCCGAGCAGGCGTGCAGCGAGCTCAGGCAGACTGCAGAGAAGCTGGAAAGCAAGGTAGAGCCCGAAAAAAGCCTCTGCCGCAGCCCCGCTTGGTTGGGTTGGAAATTAAGCCATGTCGGGATAAATATGACCACCAATTACATTACAGCAGGAGGAGCCGTGATCAGCAGAGGGTTGGGCAGGGGGCAGCTGCCGAACTGCCAGCAGAGTAACCGCAGCCAGAGGTGGTTCTCTGTGCAGGACCCAGCTGGGCTGCGGTGCCTGACTGCAGCACCCAGCGCCAGCATCGCTGCAGTCCCCATGCTGGGTGGGATCCTGCCTGCCAGAGCAACGTGTCCCCCCAGGGTCTGCACCCAGAAAGCAGCCCAGATGCTCTGGGAATGGGCCATTCCCAGGGGTGTCCCCAGGGAAAGCCTCACGTCCCCTCCGGCAAGGACAGACGTCACCTCGTGCTGCCACCAGCACGGCGTACGAGGCTGAAAAACGGCAGTGTGAATGTCATCCCTTCTGCTGACAAAAGGGTATAATTAGAATGGGAAATTACACACAGATATATCATGTTCTCATTATGCTCTCAGGACTGCAGGCTCGCTGACCTCTGCAGACACCAGAAATGACTTAGTTTAATGGGACGAATGCTAATACCAAGGAGACGGCATGCAGTAGAAGTGTCCTGCCCATCCCCTGGCTCCGAGCGTGCCCCCTCCGTGTGCGGTGCTCGTGGAGTGGCAGCTGCTGGGGCAGCTGCTTGGCCACCCCCTTGTGCGTGTCAGAAGGGACTTGGAGGCACGTTGGGGACCATGTGCATCGCTGGCTGGCCGCTGGTCCTGTGCGGAGTCCCCCCTCGGATGCACGGGCTCCTGTGCAATTGCAGCTGGGGTTTCATTAAGCACTGGGAGCAGAAAGAACTCCCAAGTTTGCTATAAATATCCTGGGTTTACCTGGCTCGCCGGGCTGCGGTGCTTGCCCCTCGCATGGGGTGGCCGAGCTGTGGTCTAGGTGTAATGCTGCAGCTCTGGTTAATGGTACCAACAGCCCAGAGGGCCAGGGACCCCTTTCTCAATGGGAAGCGGCTAAAGATGATTTAACTTAAGCTCTGTGTTAAAAATGAAATCACACCCGCAAGGCTGGGACTGCTGAGCAAGGCTAACGCCTCAGGACAGACCTAGAAAAATACCATCTCCCCAGGGAAAGAAAACCTATTGAGTTTACTTACTGAGTGTGGTTGTTGGACCTTGTTGGACCCCCTGAAGAGCTTGTGTAGTGCACCTGCAAAATGTGAAGTGCCTTAAAATGCTGTCAAATGAAGGAAAAGGAGCACTGGAAGCCTGCATGTTCCTGCTGGCCCTGCTGCCTCTGTAGTCCCTCGCTTGGCCGGATTAGCGGGACAGGTCATGTTCACCTCTGCTTTGCAGAAAATTGAATTAATACTCCGGATTAATAATTCACTCCTTCATTCACCCGCTTGTTGTTTCAAATGAAACTTAATGCTAATCAGCTAGAATGGTGCAGAAATCTGATGAGCCCTGCCTGCAGTGCACTGCAGGCAGCACAGTGCAGGCAGTGCACTGCTGGTGCCAGCTGCCCGCTGTGCAGCCGTAGCAGGCAGCTGCCTTGCCACAGGCAGCGGGGCGAGGAGGGCAGCCAGGGGCTCCAGCAGCAGTTGCTCTTTGCTGGGCACTGCCAGTGGGAGCCTGGGTTCTCACTGGTGACATGGATGGGTGATGGTGCGCACTTACCACTTCCCCTAAGCATAGGCAGCTGCCAAAGGAGAGTAGTCAGGACACTCGGGTCGATACGGGCTGAGCGGACCCCCCTTGAGCCGGCGTGCATGGCGATGCCCAGCCCTGACTCCGTGTTGCCCCCCCCAGATCATCGACCTGACGACGGAGCTGTCGGATGAGCGGTACAAGGGTGATGTCGCCTGCCAGGTCCTGGACGGGGAGCGGGCAGAGAGGCTGCGGGGCACCCGCGAGCTGCAGGAGCTGCAGGTAGGAGAGCCCCGAGCCATCAGGCCATGCCGGTGGAGATGCTGTGCTCTCAGCACAGCCTTGCTGGACCCAAGTGCCCTGGAGCCCGGTAGAGCTGCTCCCTTCCTTCCCTGGGTTTCCCCAGAGGAAACACGACCAAGTGCAGAAGAAACTGGAGTCGGTGGAAAAGCAGCTGGAAGAGGCCCAGCAGCTGGTTCAGTTGCGTGAGATGAAGATAAGTGGCTCTGGAGGAGGTAGGGGCATCCCTTCGGGGGCGATGCATGCTCTGGGCACCCAGCCTGACCTGAGGGGCCAGCACGGCCACCCCAGCGGGGCAGCAAAGCCTCTTGCAATGGGCAGAGTCTTGCCCCCCCCGACTCCAGGCAGCTCTGCTCCTCCAGCCCCTGGCCACCCCAGTGTGTTTTTGGCACCCTGTCACTCTGCATTGCTCATCTGGTGGGAGCTGGCAGTGATGGCTTTGTCACACAGGGCTCTGGCTCTTGCATGGGGCTGGGGATGCAGGCAGGGATTCTTCCTGAGGGCACTGCTGGTGCTTGCTGACACTGCCCGGCACTCCTGGCGTATCAAAGTGTGTTTGAAGCATGTTGTGGAGTGATGAGGAGGCTGCTAAGACACAAGTGGGATGGGGTGGGGTGGGATGGGATGGGCATGCACGCTTTGCCTGGGGCGGGGGTACATGTGCTATGCGAGCCGAGGCAGCCCTGGGTGCACAAAGCAGAGCTGCGCCCTACAAGCTCGCTGCTGGTGTTCATGCCATACAGGAGCCGCGGTGCCATTGTGCATTCACCCATCTGACCCTGGCACGGCCACTCAGGCTGGTCAGGCCCGCGCACCCAACAAGCGTCCCCGG